CGTGAGCGTTTCTCCTCCCACTGCCCCTCTCAGCCAATCAGAGACCGAGGCTGCGCTCAGGCCCCGCCTTCGTCCCGCTGTTGTTCCGTTTGACCGTGCCAGACATTTTTAATAGCCGAACTATCTCCTTTCATCGTCTTTGCTCCTAATGGCGGTAGAGAGTCCAGAGGAATCAACCGCCCTCAGCGGTGGGAGCGACATCCCACCGAGTGAGACAAACGAGCTTGAATGTGAGAAAAAAGAAAATGGCTCTACGGAGCCGGAAACAGAACAGCAAGCAGTCAGCATAGTGGAGCCGAAAATGGAAGATGGGGACGTGGAGGCCGATGAGGAGAAACCCGCGGCGATAGACGCTGCGGAGGCGGGGAAGGAGGACTCAGCGACAACCCGGGAAGCAGTGACTGTTCCCGAGGAGCCGGAGGAGAGACCCCCGTCCCTGCCAAGTCTGGGAGGAAACAATGGAGAGGACGGTAGAATCACCATGAAGGAGCTGAAGGAGGAGCTAGACGATGATAGCCGCTCCTCAGGAATAAGCTGCGATAAAAGCACCTCTGCTAGCGAGGATGGAGAGAAGAGCAGCAGCGGCGGTGAGCTGGGAGACAAGAGGCGCTCCAGCATGGAGGTCTCCTCCTCTGATGGAGAACCGAGCTCAGAGGACAGGTTGGCCTCAAGTTCATCATTTTATCTTCTTTACAAACTCTTAAAACTATTCAATCACTTTCTGAGGGTTTAAAACCCCATTTATAATATATTTAATTAAATATATGTTTTAAAATACTTCAAATTAATTCTTTATTTCTGTAACATCTTACACTGAAAGATAATATCAGCAATACGAGGATATTTCCTCAAGATGAGAAAATTAGAGATAATTAAGAAACCCAAAATCACCCCTGAAGAAAGTGATGTGTTGATACCAAAAGGCAGAGGGGGGGGTCTACCATTACGCAAAATTAGGCAGTTACCTAGGGCCCAATAAAACTCCTTCCTGTTTGTATTCTTAATGCAACTATTGCTTATTTGTGCTTATTAATTATGTTTTTGATAAAAATCCTTTAGTAAAAATGCCATCAGAACGCTTAGAATATTAAATGTGTCTCAGCCCCCCCTTCAGTGTCCACCATATTGGATCAGTCCTGCACATGTTGCTGCACATGCACAGAAAGGTGCAAACAGACAGCAGCAAACCATCTGAAAACAAATGATGCAAAGAGCAGTGTTGCTAACTTAGCGCTTTAGTTGCTATATTTAGCAACTTTTCAGACCCTTCTAGCACTTTGATTTTAAATAAAGCTCCTAGCGCCAAATCTAACGACTTTTTTCTGCTAATGGAGACTTTTGGAGACAACATCTAAAAGCAGCGAACTCTGCTCTCCAGAGCGAGTAGATTGGTAACCCCGCCT